CCTGAAACCAATAGTCCGTTAGAACCCTATCGGAATAACGTATCCAATTCATTATCCCATTAGAGTTTCTGACTACGTTTCAGGGGGTTGAGTGTAATTATCGATACCACAGGGACCTTACAGTTATTTAAGCATACCTCAGGGGGTGTGCGTAACTTACCCAAAACATTTTTTTCACAACCACCCCCCAAAAAAAAAAAAAGAAAATGAGACTGTCGTGCACTTTGCCCAAATGTGTATTTATTGTCGTCGGATTAAGGATGTACATGTCATTTTACTTTTCCCGCGTTAAAATCCCTCTTTTACTACTGACTCACTTAGGGTTCCCAAAGCCACAATATTCACTTACCAAATTGACGAAACTCTCTTCAAAATTTGATGAAATTAAATTCTCTTCCAAATTCCATGAAAATTGCTCTCAGTTATTCATAATCTGTATTTGCACAACACAATTAAGACGATTAGTTGGGAATTACGACAAGAAACGCAGAAACCTAACAATGTTAAGCATCGAACTTCGATTTTTGTTAACGATTGTGCAATGTTGGTTTTTATTGTGACCGAGCTCGGTATAAATTTGGAGTTTTCTTTACAGTATCACGGACTTTTTATTTTTTATTGTGAGGTAAAATCGACCACTTTGACAATCGTAATGCATATGCGATGTCGATGAGAGCGATGCATTCAATCGGGCGATAATATATATATATATATATATAAAAAACCGAATTTGCTGAGCTTTAAATCAATATAAGAAACTCGACTATTCCGATACGGGACGAGTCTTTGCAGGGAAGCAAAGACTATTCCGATACGGAAGGAGTCGACTGCAATCTTCTTGTACATCACCACCGTCGACTTCGAATTCTTCGATCGTCTTTTCCGAAGGGCTATAGTAGACGAATCTCGAACAAGACAACCCGATCAAAATCTTATTTCCCACGAAACATAGCGGTTCAAGCAACCTCCTAGTCGGAAAACACCCCACATTTTTCTCGATAATTGCAAACTCCTCCCAATTAGGATTATTTCCAATAATACCCTTTTCCTTTGTCCATAACCGAATACTCGTCTCGCCATTCCAGTACAAACACAGCTTGCAATTCAAACAAGCCAAGTCATAGAATCGGCCATTAGCACCGATATTATATAGTTCTTTCGGCTTCTTCAACGTCTCGAGCTCGTCGTTTCTCGGATCGAATTTCACTAAATTTCTACCCAAAAACCAATAAATAGCTCCGTCAACCGACACTCCCGAACGACCAGCGCCATGGTATTTCCGCATTCCGAATTTATTAACCTTCCAAGAACTGTCCCTGCACGAGTAAACTACGCACTTCGTTCGAGAAACCAAGACAACCTTGTAATCGTCAGTGACCGCGTCGTAGCAAATCCCGGCGCTAACTTTCGCACGGGACGACAAATGCCAGATGGCGAACTTGTGCGACTCGAACGGTTCCAACTGATCGTACCCGTACGGGCAGTGGAAATCGATCCGGCTCCGGGTCAACGGATTCCACAACACGTACTTGCTGTAGACGGTCGAACTGCCGCACCACGATAGTACCATGCCGTCGCATTCGCATAGTACAACTGCGTTGCAGTTGTAGGGGCTGTCGATTACTGCTTCTTCGGTTTCGAGTTTTCGATCTTTTAACCTAACGAGGGTAAACCCTGGTTTCGTAGTCGTGTACTTTAGGAAGAGATTGTTCGGCGAGGTGTTTGAATTTCGGAGATGTTTGCGGATGAATACGGGATCGGAGATCGTCGTATTCCATGACTTTGAAACTGATTTGAATCGAAGAAGAGATTTAACTGATAGTTTCGATAGGATAATTTCTATGATTTCCGGTGGAATATTCGATATTGATCCTTTCTGTTTCTTCACCATGTTTTTTTTTTCCAACTTTTTGGTTCGTATTAGGGTTTGAAGGGATGAGTGAAATGGCGGAGGGCTAGGGTTTTATTCTGTAAGAAAGAGGGATGGGCGATATTATATGGCTAGGGTTTTAATGTTTTTTGTTTTTTTAATTATGGAGAAATTAATAATGCAGATCTGATGAAAGCAAATCGTGTAAGGGTGCATTTGGATGGAGGGATTTGGGGGAGGGATTTCAAATCCATAATAACAAATCCCTCGGACTTGTTTGGATTGAGGGATTTGGAGATGGATTTCAAATCCCCACCCCTCCTTTTTAGTTGATTTTGGAGCAATAGTGATGGATTTCAAATGACTCCAAAATTGGATTCATTTCAAATCCATTCCCCAAATCAAATCCTTCCCAAATCCCTCCATCCAAATGGACCCCAAAGGTAATTGATTTAAGAAAAATATATATACGTTATAGATGGATGATTCAGCTAGTAAGATGAATATATAACTGAACTTGAAGAACAATTAGCCCGTCTAGCTCAGTTGGTAGAGCGCAAGGCTCTTAACCTTGTGGTCGTGGGTTCGAGCCCCACGGTGGGCGTTATATAAAATTTAATATTATTTTTAAATTTTTGTTAATGGATTTAGATGGGCAGCAAAAACATTGTCAAGTTTTGTGGCCACTATCAGAAATTGGTCTACCCTTGCTTTCGTAAAGAAAAAGAAAAGCCCAAAACGAATTGGTCCAAATAATTAACAATATTAATTAATACGTCAACACAAAATTCAAAAAAATAATATATTTATAATAATTTCGCCCACCGTGGGGCTCGAACCCACGACCACAAGGTTAAGAGCCTTGCGCTCTACCAACTGAGCTAGACGGGCCTACTGTTTGACAAATTCAGTTACGTTTATTAATACCCCAATCAGTCCATGTATAAATTATCTTTTTCCTTTTTTCTTTTTTGTTCAATAAAAATATCTTCAAATATTTGGTTACTAATTTCTTTAGAGGAAATACGAGTTTATAATAATCAGAAAAATCAAGCTCAGAGGGAAGAGAGCAGCCCTCGTTCAATTTTATATTGGTTGCCTATAGTTCATAAGTTAATATGCATTTCTATCAATTAAATCATGAGTTGAATCAACTAATTTAAACCATCTGACTCGCCGTACATCAATTGACTCATCTAATTTAAGTGAGTTGCTCGAGATGTATAAAACGGCTTAACTCTAATACAAATATGTTAACTCTAATTAATTAGTCTCGTTAGCAAATTAAGAGTTCATACATGTTGTTGCACTAATTAAAGATGAAATTGTTTTTTTGCTGCGTAAGGGTAACACGACCTATTTGCACGTGTGATCTTCTTTCGTGTTCGTAAAATGCTATTATATGCCGATTACAAACATCAAGAATCAAGGTACCTTTCGATTCTTGATGTTACATACAACTTCTGCATGCACTATATGTATATTTCATGAGTATATATAATATAAAAACAAATCTTGAAAAATATTGTAATCGAACTAAAATCTTATTTTCCACAAAACATAGTGGTTTACGCGAAATACATCTCACACTAGACTATATACCCCGAAATGGAATTCTGGGGAAATACATACTATTCCTATACGGAATCAATCGACCGAAAGGTATATCGGTATCTTCGACGACTTCCTCGATCGTATTTTCGGAAGGGCTGTAGTATACAAATTTGTTGCCCGGTATTTGAATCACAATCTTATTTTCAACGGAACCTATCGCTTCGGACCACCAAATCTCTTTCGGAAAATTCTCAATAGTTGCAAACTCATTCCAACAATTTACGAAAATGCCCTTTTCCTTCATCCACATTCGAACCCTACTCGAATCATTGTACATGCAGTACAAACACAAGCCGCCTCTCAAACAAGCCAAGCTAATATACAAATTGTACCCATCGTAATCACTACTATTTAATTCCTCGGGCTTCGGTAAAAACTTTAGCTCGTCGGTTCTTGAATCGAAATACACTACATGCGTGCGATTTTGCTCTCTCAAAACCCAATAAGTGGCTCCATCGACGAATATTCCCGGCGCACAAGTAACGCTGTAGTACGCCGTTCGGAAAAGTTTCTTCCTCGTCCAAGATTCGTCGTTACACGAGTAAACCGCGTAGTTCCGTTCGGCAATCATGACAATCTTGAAATCGTTCGTGGCGTGATCGTAGCATACGCCGTGGCTCACGACGTTGCCCTCGTTGAACGCGTCCGGGAACGCAACGAGCGTCTTCTGTCGGGTCGTCGGATTGCACAGCGCGTACCGCCGGCGGAAGAAGGGGTTAGTGCTGCTCGCCATGAGCAGCAAGCCGTTGCACTCGGCGAATATTATGTTGAAGCCACTCGGAATATTCTCCAAGATTCCATCGCCGTTGATTTTCCCGTCTTCGAATTTAAGTCGAGAAAACCCTATTTCGGTACCCTTCATTTGATACGTACTTACGAAGAGATTACTCGGAGAATTTTCCGACGACGACCGGAGATAATTTTCGACGAATGCGGGATCGGAGATTATCGTATTCCATGACTTGCAAACTGATTTGAATCGGAGAAGAGATTTAACCGACGTGTGATTTTGACAGGATTATTTCTATGATTTCAAACGGAATAATATTCTCAAATTCTGCTGCCATGTTTAATACTTCTTCCGATGTGTTCGTTTGAATTAGGGTTTGTATACAGAAGAGAGAGGTTTTGAATAACGGCGTGCCCTTTATAGAATTTCGTGACACGTGGATATTTTAACTGCTTTATTTATTTTATCTTTTCTTTTCTTTAATTTCCTTCTCTCGTATCTTAATATTTACAAATAATATATTTTTCATTATTGAAAATAAAGAAATCAGTAAATATGTATAGATAATTAATAAGAAAGATATTAGTTAATAATTCAATCATGTGGTTACCAGCTTTTGAAGATGACCACATTGTGCTCGTAATATCGGTACATAACCTCTTTGTGGTTTATGGGGTTAACTTATGTTAATTGTTCCGTCAAACTTAACCGCCTGTATCTAAATTCAAGGGGGTCATCTGCAAAAATGAAAGCACGAGGGAGTCATTTGCGAAAAAAATATTTTGACGACTAATCTGTAGGCGGAGGGGCATTATAGTAATTTGTTCCAAACCCGAGACATAAACAAAGAGGGGGTTCCTTCGATGCTACACCCGGGTGAAAAACACCT